AATATTGGACATCTTCATCTATGAGCCATTTTAGAAAAAAATTATGAAATTCCACAATCTTTAAACAGTCAATACAAAGATGTTAGAACTAAGGACAAATTAATAGATATTATTTATAAACAAAGTCCCAGCAGACATATTAAAACATTATTTATTTTCATAAAATAAGATTTTTGTATTTTATTTTAAAGGTCTAATCAAAATTATAAATGGTTTGGTGGATTTGGGACTTCAGATTTGAGAGTGTAAAAGCTATATGATTAAAAGTAAAAAAACCCAATTCATTAAGTGATAAAAAGATAGGAGTTAACACTATATTTTTTTACTATCTCTATTGGAGGTATTAATAACTTGTAAAATATATACTGCTTTGAAAGGTGCAAGATGATATATGCATCAACATAAAAGCTCAACATATTTGGCCAAAATATTAGGTTAAAAATGACATCCTACCCATTAATTTCTGTTGTTGGCGAGCAGCAGCCATTTTTGCTTGTTCTTGTTTAGCACCCTGTAATTCTTGTTGTAGAGCTTGTATCTGTTGTTGTAACATGGCCTACAATGAGAAGATTTCAAAATATATAATCTAATGACTAATGAATCTAAGACCTTGGAAAATAAGCTTAGTGTTGTCAATATCAGGTAAAACAAATAATCACTTTTGCTGAAACGAAATGAAAATGATATGAATGGTGTTTTACGTCCTACTTTTCTGCACCATGTGGGCTAATGAAGACAGGTGACTTTTGCTCAAGACAACTAACTTGATGTACTACTTTTCGAAGTAACCAACCCAAAAATGATCAGCATTCACCACTTCTGGACCTTTTCTGTGAACATACGCCAATGGCAAAAACCAATTCCTTTGTGTTAACAGCATGGCAGTAACAGAAAAAGAAAACTTACAACATTAGAGCCATCTTGAGGTTGGCCAGAACCCAATGGTTGTTGAGCTGATGCTACTTGTTGTAATAGTTGTTGTTGCTGTTGTACATTAGAAGTCAGCTGAGCCATTGACTGTGGCTGACCTGGACCTTGTGCTGTTGTTGATACTGGTCCAGACATAGTACTTGGTATTTGATTCTGCATCTAGGATTAAAGAGAGCTCTTTTGGTCAAGAATACCAACAAAATTCAACAGAAGTCTTGAAACTTTTGATGGAAAACTATATAATTTGAAAAAAAAATGTCAATCTACCAATGATCCAAGTTAATACAACAGATGCAAAAAGAATAGATAAGAAACACCTGATTCTCTTCAACAAGGCACATACCTGCCCTGACATTAAAGTCATATTGGGAGTAGAAGTCATTGGATTATTAGGACCTAAGCCAACACCAGTACTGACATTCCCTACAGTCTGACCAACACCACTAACTGCTGGCCCAACAACACCGGTCGTCCCTACACCACTCACACCTTGCCCTACACCACCAACACTTGCCCCACCACCTTGCTGCTGTTGTTGTTGCTGCTGCTGCTGTTGCTGCATCTAAAACAAACCACATACCATTTCAACCAAAAACATGCTTTGATTGAGTCATTTTGATCTGTTATAAAAGAATAAAAGCTTTTCAAATGTGTTTTTTTTCTGTATGAGTGACTGAAGTCAAATAAGTGAATCATAAAAGGGAAACAAGAAATTAAACAAATTTGAAAAGCTTTCATTCTAGCAGACGACAAAGGATAAGACCACTTAAACCCTGATCCATCAACTAAACAATATTTAGTATATATATAAAATACAATCATTTCCATCACCAATACACACAACACAATAATAATACACTTAACATGCCTTTCTAGTTAGTTAAGCTATGGTAAATGTTTGGTTAAAGTGGTTAAAACAGCTAGTTAGGGTTAATACAAAAGACAATGCTAATTGAGAATACCAATACAAAGAGTTTTTTTTTTTCAAATTTGTGAAACTCTATTTGAACTCTGTTTTAGTAAATTTGTTTTTATTTCCAGTGTTTATGACTGTTGGCATCATGATATTAGCAGTACCTACACTTTTTAAACTTTCTTAGTCCTAAAAAGTTAAGTAGTAGACAATATTGAATCAAGTATATAATATGTTCATGCCTCTGCCAGGTGTTTACTAGGTTTGATAAGAAGCTAGTCTGATACATAATGACTATTATCTGGCCTCAGGTATTTATTATTTGATAGAGCTCAATCAAGAGAGTTAAAAAAGCATGATTATGAGAATTTTCTAAAACAATTTCATGTCTGTTTCCTGATTTTTGAAATGGTATTGAGGGGCAAAGATGGTTCCATAACTTTTTCAGAATGATTTTTCTCGAAAGAGAATCAAATTATAAGCTTTTAAGTGTCAAAAAATCTACAGAAAACAAATGAAGGTCTTCTGACTTGGTCTCAAGTCAAAACACAAATACGAGGCAAGGCACCAGTCAACATGTTTCAGCCCAATTGGAAGCATGTTTTGTTACCTGTGGAGGTGTTGATAAAGATTGTTGAACAGAAAATGATTGTGACATCATAGCTTGACGTACTTGTGACTAAATAAACAATAAAAATAAACAACAACATGCAGGCATAAACAACAACAAAGGAAACAAAAAAACACAAACAAAAAAACATGATGACTAAAGCTACTGTTTTATAAAAGGTATATATTATTATATAGTTGTCTAAATATTTGCTCTTGGTTTTCATTGTATGTCAGAATGAAAATCTGATGTCTGGGTTATCTTTCTGAGATATATATGTTCAGAACTGCTGATAGTCCAAATATCCAGACTGTAATTAACATTCTCATGAATCACTTTGTTCTGAGAAAATGTGGATTACTTGTCAATGTTACAAGAATTGGTTATAAATGAATGTGGAAATGTTAAAAGGGGCATTGATCTCCATTAGATAGCTGGAAAGGAAAATATCTAGACAACTATATCTCTTCAACTTCATCTTTATAATGACTTATTCTAATATTAATAGAGACAAATAAATTCCTTTACTGTAAACACAGCATGATAATTCAGTTTTCAACCAAGAAGCATGGGAATTCGTAGGATACATCATGAAGAATATCATCATCGAAAAAAATACATTGAAATTGCCAACAAAGTCAATATATTAGGCTACACAAAGATATTACAGTTTTCTCTTTAGGTATACTAATGACCTTCCACTAAGGTTAAATAAGCTAACACTTATGTTAGTATTAGGTTCAAGAAAATGAAGTCAGAAAAAGTAAAGCTAGCTTATAGTAACAGTCTACATTATGTTAAGTTTGTTAGGGATTAGAACTACTAATGTAATCAATTGCTTAAAGGCTAAAAGAAACGTAAACAAATACACAGTTTGACTCATAAAATATTATACGATTTCAACAACACACAGTATATCACCGAAAATGTCAATAAAAGTATCATATTGGTTTGGATTTGAATTTATAGATTCGGGAACGGTGTTATAACTCAGGATATGTGAAATAAAACCAAACGGTAATTGTCAGTAAATTATGTCAGTAATTGAAGCAATTAATATATGTAATTGTAAAAGAAGGTGATTATGATTACTCTCCTTCTGTAATGGTAATGATCACTTGGTTTACAATATTTTTCTCTTCTTATAAAATGATTACTTATTGACAATCTTTATAGAGAGTACTTTGTTAATGTGATGGTAAATGTAATGATATCTTAAATTAAACACTATAAGTAAGGTGTCAAAAAGATCTCATCACAATCTACTGCGTAAAAACAAGAAATTCTTACTCTTTCTTTATGTTTACTGAGCACTGTTCTAATTCCCTGTACAAAGGCAACTTGATCATTTGGTATAAGTCCAATAAAGGCTTTCTTTTTACTACTGTATAATAATAATAAAACTCGAACATCACAATGGCTTGTGCTTGGAAAATGGACACAACCAGCCTACAAAATAAAATGTTGGGCATCAAAATCATTTTTTTGTTCTACTAAATGTTAAACAGATAAATGTAAGTCTTGATAACAGGAGGTATACTGTGTTCATCAATATCGAGCAATATAAGATAGTTCTTATCAAAATTTAGAAAGGGATATACAAAAGATATATAATTTATATGTAGACATTAAGTTATCAATAACTATGATTAAATAGTTACTTACGAATCCATTGCCCATAATTTTGTGTAAAGATTTAAGTATATCCATATCACTAGGGTTAAAATTAAAGGAAACTTGACGTGAATTTTTAAATAAACTTGTTAATTCACATAACATATTCTGTGGTAATAACTGCATTAATAATTTACTGGGCCAATTACTAGCATTGCTGAAAGTAGAAAATAGAAATTTAACAGATGAATTTCCTGTCTTGCCGAATTGTTACCTTTGGAGTTCACCCCAATATAGACTGTATAACAGTGGTCTTATAGATTATGTATCTTAAACGGGTTGTAAAGAGTTTTTATGCAATTCCACTAAAACTCAAAAGGATTATAAAGAGGTTTTCTAAAAATTAGGGACCTTAATAGCATCAATTTTGCACCATTCCAATTTTTAGTCAGACATCTGTGGTTTCTGCAATTCCACTAGGACAAAGTGATTGATGACATCATTAATTGCTTTATCAACAACTCTAACAACAATGTAAGTGATACTAAATATAGGTTTCGTCATGAAAACGCCTACACCATTGGAATAATTACACAGCACAAATACTACTGACACCATTCAATACTTACACATCAGGATCAGAGGGTCCTAGAGTAACATTACAGGATAGAGATCGTGAGATTTTTTGTGGTTTCTCTTGATAATCTAACACACCTACAAAAAAAGTAACAAACAATGTTAGAATTCTCTAAATCTTAAAAGTTTAGTTTAAGACACTTCATAATCCATTGAAGTGAGATCATTTTTCAAACAGTGGACTTCAGAAAACCATTTCTCCGAATTGTCTTTAAATTTTCAATTTAAATGTGCATTTTTTTTCCATTTTGAAAATTGTTTGATACAAATATTATATATTTATATTTGAGACAGTACTATTGCATTAGGCCCACTTCTGAAAAAGTCATTCAAGATTAAACATACACATTTACATACCTCTCCAAATAACACGTTTTTCACCAGGGTTATTAGGAAAACCAGGCATTCCAGTAGGGTTGGGAGCAGATGATGGACCAGCATTTATAGTATTTGGTTGTTTCTGTTGTTGTTGTGATTGTTGTACAAATTGTTGTTGATTACCAACTTGATTCATTATACCTATTGCACAGAATAAGTAAAGCATAAGAACAAAGTATTTTTTATTATATCTTATGCAAAAGCGTTTAATACATGCACTATTCATCAAAAACAAATGTGAATGTACGAGTCAGCCCAGGGTAATAGGCGAGCACACAATATCAATACAAAAACAAATCATTTTCATTATTCTTAAAAAACAGTGCTTACTTGTGTGTCCTTACCGAAGTTTGACAAATAGTACTTGTTCTTGTGTCTGTAACTCAAGACTTGTCTGACTTCTTTAAAATATTTCGAAGTATTATAATTATAATATAAATTACCTTGAGTCTGATTAGAAGGTAGTGACATGGGTGGTTGTTGTGTTGATATCATATTACCAGTAGTATGAGGTGGTATAGATGATATATTAGGATTATTAGTAGAAGATGATACAGACTGATTTATAATCTGTTGTGGTATGCTCTGTTGTTGAGACGTTATAATATTCTGAGGACGTAATGTATTCATGTTACCTCCTAAATTAGTTCTCTGACCAGCTGAAAAAACATACATAATATGTGATTTGCCATTTTCAGGGGTTGATTTGGGCCTAGAATGTATGTTAACAGTCATCAGAGGTACTTGACCCTTACTAATAAAGGCATAAATTCCTTCAAACTTCAAACTAGGAATTTCACTTTAAATTTCTCTTTATATCTTTTCTTTAGTTTAGCCGAAAAAAATCCAGTTTTTATGAAGCACAACTGATCACAGATGGAATGTGTGTCCCTTTAAAGGAAGTAAGAAAAAGATAACCATTCATTTTTAGA